GCGGTAAGCAAGGGCAACACGGAATTGACCTTCCCTTGCTATATAAACGAGCCCTTAAGGGAACCCCGAAAAACTTTAAATCCTAGACCCTAAACCCTGAACCTTAAACCCTAAACTTCAAATCCGAAACCCTAAACCCTAAATCCCCTAAACCCTAGACCCTAAACCCTAAACCCTAAACTCCTATTCCTAAACCCTAAACCCTAAATCCCCTCACAAAGGCTGGGGCAAAGGCTATGGTGGCTTCGGTCCAGGCCCAGGTCTCCCCGGCATTCGAAGGGCACTGCGGGGTTTCGGGGTTTAGGGTTCAAGGTTTAGGGGTTTAAGGTTTAGGGGCTTAGGTAGGGTTTAGGGTGTAGGGTTTAAGGGTTTAGGGTTTGGGGGTTTAGGTAGGGTTTAGGGTGTAGGGTTTAAGGGTTTAGGGTTTCCATAGAGTTTAGACTTTAGGGGTTTAGGGTTTAAGGTATAGGGGTTTAAGGTTTAGGGGTTTAGGTTTAAGGGTTCTTTTAAGGGATCTTTTAAGGGCTCCTGTATAGTAGGAGACTGATTGGGTTTATGGTTTTGGGTTTGGGGGTTTGGGTTTTGTGGCTTTGCGTGAGGGCGGGCTTAGAGTTTAGGTAGGGTTTAGGTGGCATGAAACCCTGAGCCCTAAACCTAAACCCTAAACCCTAAACCCTAAACCTACATTTTAGGTTTTAGGGTGAGTCTAGGGAACCGCACTCCTTCAAGGCAGGACCTGATGTTCTGATCGACCCTCCCCCCCACACCGTGGTCTTCTTATTGCTTGTGTGGTGAGCAGGTAGGCCCCTAATTATGTTTGGGTATGGGGCATTGGGACTTCAGAATTTTGAGCTCTTGAGGCTCTGCACCACTATGTTCTTTTGAAGGCTGTGGGCTAGTGGTGTGAGGAGAAGGGAGTTGAAGCTTATAGGGCTTCAAGATCTTAGGCTACACGACTGGGGGTTTTGTAGTTTCGGGTTTACGATCACGGCTTTAGCAGTTGGGTGGTATTCTTTGAGAGTTTAGGGTGCAGGATTTCGGACAGGCGGGTTAGGGTTCAGGGCTCAGGCAGTTGGGGCCTTTATAAGGCCCTAAAGTCTCAGATTTTCTTCGGCTAAGTGCGTGTCTTGGACTGACCCTAGACCCCAAGCCCTGTCTGGGACATTAAGGCTGTTTTGGGGCTTGGTGGTTTAAGGTTTAGTGTCTAGAAGTCAAGGGTTGGATCCTTCAAGGAATCCTCTTCGGGTCGTTTCAAAGGCTCTAGATAGGTTCTGGGTCTACATGGGATTAGTGCTTGGGGTTTTCGGGTTTAGGAGTTTAGTGTTGTGGGGCTCAGGGGCTGGACTTAGGCCCTAGGTCCATGGTGTAATGTATCAAGATGCACTGGTTGATTAGGTGAGGGTGTTGGGGTTTGGTGTTTAGTATAGTAGGAATCAAATGATTTAAGATTTTATGGCCCTCTAACCTAACGCTTACGCTTTGCCTTCTTTCTTTGCCTCAACCTTCCAATAAGAGCCATAATCGCATTAAAACCACATGAGCTCTTGACTAGCACACGCTAAAGCCAAACCTAAGCCTTAAGACCTGAACCCCTGTGGCGTTGAGACTTGCAGCCAGCCAGCCAGCCAGCCACCAAGCCTTACTCGGCCCCTCACCCTAAACCCTAAACCCAGGAAGCCCTAAACCCTACACCCTAAACCCAAAAGCCCCCAAAGCCCCTTCCCCGAAGCCATAAACCCCTACACCCTAAACCCAAAAGCCCTCAAAGCCCACCCCCCGAAGCCCCAAACCCTAAATTTACACGGGTAGTTATCTAAAGTAGGGTTGTTGTTAGGGTCCTTTTTCATAAAGGGTGCCGTACTACATTGGGGACCTAGAGAGGGACCCTAATTTGGAGAAGTACCCAAAGACATAGAACCCTTATAGGAACCCTACACAAACCCTGATAGATCCCTTTAAGGAACCCTAAACAGGGACCCTAACCACCACAAGCCAGAAGACGCCTAAACCCCTAAACCCTAAACCCTTGGAGCCCCATAACCCTCTAAGGAACTACCCAAATAGAACCCATTATAGCTACCCAAACAGAGCCTGTATAGGACCTTTCTAGGAACCCTATAACCCTTAACAGGAACCTTAAAGGGACCCTAAACCCTAAACCCTAAACCCTGAACCCTAAACCCTAAACCCTAAACAAGAAGACGCGAAGGCTTCTATCCCCCCTTCGGGCCATGGGATGGTGGCAAGGCCGGGGATTACGGCGCGGCTTGTCCCCTTTGGAGGGTTTAGGGTTTAGGGCTTAGGGTTTAGGGTGTAGGGTTTAGGGTTTAGGGTTTAAGGGTTTAAGGGTTTAAGGTTTAAGGGTTTGGGTTTAAGGTTTAGGGGAGTCCTTACTTTAAAGGATCGTGGGACGTAGTACCTAGCATGATTTTTTGGGGCGTAGCTATGCTTAATTTGCTTATCGCCCCAATCAAGTTGCTAAAAAACCTTATTACTTGTAAGTCCAATGATCCTCCAATTAGGAGTTCCGGCTTAGGGTTGAGGGTTCCATGAGTAGGGTTTAGGGTTTAAGGTTTACGGTTTAGGGATTAGGGTTTCGGGTCTTGTATGTGCGTTTTGGATTTGACGCTTGGGGGTTTCGGGTTTTTCAGAGTGCAGGGTGTGGGCTTCAGTGCTTATGCACTCGACGGCTTGGGTCCAAGGGTTCCGGGCCGGAGGACTACAAGAAGTTTAGAGGGGTTCAAGAGTTTTGGGTTAGGGTTTAGGTTTAGTGGGGTTAGGGGTTACACCTGCTGGGTATTGGACTTCGGTCTTTTCGGGTGTGTTATGACTTGCAGATCGGGTGTCACGAGTTGCGAGGTGCCTTCATATGGCTCCCCTCGCTGTATTTCGGACGGGCTTCTCAGCAGGTGGAATGGAAGGGGCCATCTAAGACTTTATGAAGGTTCATGTGGGAATTTCAGGAAAGAGGCCAATGCATGCAAGGACCAATATACAGGGTCCGCAGCATGTCGAGGGTATTGATTTCTTATCCCCAAACCCTGAGCTCTCATAAACGCTCAACCCTAAACCCTAAACCCTAAACCCGTTTTTGGCTCCAGGTCCCGGCCTCAATCCCGGCTCACGATCGCGCTGCTTCCGGTTTGGGGGGTTTGGGGCTCAAGGTCGAAGTTTCTTTAGGGGTCGGAATAGGGTTTAGGGTTTAGGGTTTAGGGAATACGGAATGGTATTCCCCGACGGTCCCTCTTGGTTAGCCGTATACTTCAGTATAGGTGAACCTCAGGGTTAATGGTTCAGGTACACTCTTAACCCTAACCCTAAACCCTAAACCCTAAACCCTAAACCCCTCAAGCCCCTGAGCCCTTTATCCAGTCAGCAATGGCATTCTGCACGTCGGGGCGCTCAAAGACCCCCCTGCAGCGTTTCGCCGAGAAGCTTGCAGCGACCGACGATGCTGAACTTGAAGCGCAAGCCCTAGTCAGGGTCTTCTGGGACATTGCGGGTTTCTCCTGGAGTCTTATAACATATCACGTCTCATAACTGTTTTTGGCTTGTAGACTGATTCACAAGCTCCCTGTCATCAAGGGGTCAGCAAATGGGTAGCTCTCTAAATTAGGGTCCCTTTCAGGGTCCTTCTGACAAGGGTGCCGTACTATATTTGGGAACTAGAAAGGGGCCTAAATTTAAAGAACTACCCAAATAGAACCCTGAAAGTACCCATACAGGAACCCAAAAGAAACCCTGAAAGGGACCCTTTAAGGAACCCCCAAAAGTGATCCCTACTTTAGAGAACTACCCAAATGCTATCTAATCCCCATCGTTCTGGCGTCCTCGGTCTAGGGTTTAGGGTCCCTAAACCCTAAACCCTACGGGTTTAGGGTTTAAAAGGTTTAGGGCTTAGGGTTTAGGGTTTAGGGTCCCTCAACCCTAAACCCTAAACCCTAAACCCTACAAGTAACTTGTGCGAAGATTGTAAGGCTGCAGGGCTTGGCTGTTTCAGAGCCGGGGGCATGGAGTTAAGGAAGTTAGCTTTGCGGCTTCATCTATAAGAACTCATTGGGTTTACGGTTTAGGGTTTAGGTGGGCCATTTCATTACTAGTGATGTTCTATTCTATGCTCTTTTCACTGAGTTCTGCATTCGACCTATTGGCCGGGCATGCATCAGTTTTGTGAGAAAAACATACGGCTGACGGACAAAATCCTGCAGTACCTCAAGTACCCAAGCAACAAACTGCGTTGATGGGCCCAAGCTTATTGACCGGCATCGTGGCAACATAGAACACTGCCCGAAGTCCCAGGCCGACCCAGAAAGGGTTGAGGGTTTAGGGCAATTACCCTAAACCCTAAACCGTAGGGCAATTTAGGGTTCAGGGTTTAGGGCTTAGGGCCCAGACCCTAATTTCTGAACCCGAGGCCCTATACTGCCCTGAGGGCCGAAGCATTGCATGCGAAAGTTTTACTGGGCTTTGGAGTACCATACTTTATTACTTTTTTGGGGACCTGTTCCTTAAAGGAACCATTATGAAATAAAGTCTATACTTTTTTCTCCCTGGTTACTTCAAAGCCCAGATTTATCTCCAACACCGACTCCGTGCTTCATGAACCCTCGACAAACCTATCTTTTCAGAAATTGAGAGCTCCTCATGATGATTGCCTTATACACAAAGCTTTAAAGATGGGTCTAGATAAACTAACTTGCTATTTGTGATGATTTCCTTATAAAAGTCCTTGAACAAACGACCCATGGGACTTAGCAGGCAGGTTTCCGGTAGGTATCTGGGATTAGGATACCTCTGCGCCCGACTTTTACCTGCATGCCACCTATAGTCTCCATCGAAGTTCTTTCTTGTTTGACCGACTTTGTATCTCAAGGTAACACCCTAAACCCTAAACCCTAAACCCTAAACCCTAAACCCTAAACCCCTAAACCCTAAACCCTAAACACTAAACCCTAAACCTATCAACGCAGGGCCGAGGATCCTGGGAGTTCCACCGAGGCCGCACCAATGCTCTTCCCGATGTATACCATCCCGTGCGAGCTTTTGCTTCAGATGCTGGGCTTTGTTTAGGGTTTAGGGTTTAGGGTTTAGGGTTTAGGGTTTAGGTGGAGTACCATACTTTAATACCTTTTTGGGGGGTTTAGGGTTTAGGGTTTAGGGCTTTGGAGTACCATACTTTAATACCTTTTTGGGGGGTTTAGGGTTTAGGGTTTAGGAGTATCATACTTTAATACTTTTTTGGGAGGGACCTGTTCCTTCAAGGAACCATTAGGAAAGACAAGTCTCTATACCCTAAACCCTAAACCCTAAACCCTAAACCCTATACTTTTCTCTCCCTGGTTACTTCAAAGCCTAGGATGACCACGATCCAACCACATGAGCAGCTCAAGGTCCGGGCTTAGGGTCGGGTTTTGGGACTTTGGATTGGGGCTGTAGGCTTTAGGCTTTAGGGTTTAGGCTTTGGGGTTTAGGCTTTAGGCTTTAGGCTTTAGGGTTTAGGGTTTAGGCTTTAGGGTTTAGGCTTTAGGGTTTAGGATTTCGGGTTTAGGCTTTAGGGTTTAAGTTTGGGGCGGGACTCACAATTACCAAGTGTATTCCTTACAGTCCGTTAGTTTCTGCAGTTGCTGTAGAATGTGCCACAAACCCTGTTCCAGTGATTAAGGCCCCATATTAGGTTAACTGGTTCGTGGATTGCTTGTGTTCAAGCTCAGGCGACCATGGCTGCTGAGTCCGCTGGTACTTCAAGGAATTGTCGGCTGGACCGGACACCCCAATTAATCAAACCCCAAACGAAACCTAAATGCTCAATTTCCGGAGTGTCATTCATGGGTGGTTGTAAGTTGGGAACCTCTGTACATCAGTTGAGTTCTCATGTGCGAACACCGGTAGTTAGCTCGCTTAAAACCGCACTTCAACTCCATCCCTCTCAAGATCGAACCCCTTAGAACCCTAAACCCTAGACCCTAAACCCAAGACCCTAAACCCTAGACCCTAGACCCAAAACACTAAACCCTAGACCCAAAACTCTAAACCCTAGGCCCGAGACCCAAGACCCAAAACCCTAGACCCTAGACCCTACACCCTCAACCCTAAACCCCGAAGGCCAAGGGGGACGTCATCATCTTCGACCCCAAAATGGGTAAAGCCGCCTTCGTGTCGCACCAGCAGCTTCGACCTGGATAAAGCAAGGCTCAGGATCCTGAAACAAAGCAGAAAGTTTCAGGGTTTAGGGTTTTAGGGGTTTAAGGGCTTTAAGGGTTTAGGGCTTAGGGCTTCAGGGGTTTAGGGTTTTTAGGACTTTAGGGCCTTTGGGTTTAGGGTTTAGGGTTTAGGGTTTAGGGTTTAGGGTGTAGGGCTTCAGGGGCTTAGGGTTTAGGATTAACCCTTTCACGGAAGTTCAGGGTTTCGGGTTTAGAGTTTTCAGGTTTTGGGGTTTTGGGTTTAGGGTTTAGGGTTTAGGGTTTAGGGTTGAGGGTTGCGAAAAACCTAGTGTTCCTATGTACATCTTCTTCAAGCTAGGGGCGCCTGACTAATTTGTACCATTTTTCAGGTCGGTGCCATTGTATACATGGCTTGTGCCCAGTACCTTTCGGGAATCTCCAAACAGGCCTTTTCAGAGAGCTTCAGGCACGCCCCAGCTTTGTGCACCTAGAGCAGAAATCCAGAAAGGCTCGCAGTTTTACTTCTAAGGGTTTAGGGTTTAGGGTTTAGGGTTTAGGATTTAGGGTTTAGGGTTTAGGGTTTCTAAGTTTCGGCCCCAAGACCCCACGCCCTACATCTTATACCCTGACCAGCCTCGCCCTGCGCATGCAAAGAAAGCAGACAAGATCCAAGAAAGACATATACTGAGTTCCCCAATACCCAACCTTTAAATTTTTTCGGTTCTTACAGTTTAGTAGAAATCTGAAAGTTTAACGTTTTATTTCCCTGGCTCACTGGGGAAGTAAGTATGAGCTTCAACCAGGACCGCCATGTACCCATCAGCCAGGGTCTCACCCTAAACCCTAAACCCTAAACCCTAAACCCTAAACCCTCACACTTGCTTTATAAGGCTGGATCTTCCAAAGTTTTCAATGTTTATGCTGCTCTACCGAGCTTAACATCCCTTGATAGATGGGGTTCAGGTTTAGGGTTTAGGGTTTAGGGTTTAGGGTTTAGGGTTTAGGGTAGGGTTCAGAGACCTTACATCGGTTTTCTTTTCGGTTGCCTTCCAGAACTTGTTTACCGAGCATTCGCTTACTTCTAGACTGAGCAACCGCGTCTTCCCAGCTACCTACTAGTGGCTACTTAGTGTTTAGGGATGTCCGAGGAATCGCCAGAAGATAAATGCCTTCTCTGGTGAGGATATCCTTAGCTCTTCGTGAAAGGAAGCACTTTATGCTTGTTCATTGCTTGGGTTCTATAGCGGACGTAGAGTCTAGGGTACCCGAAGCCCAAAGCCCTAAACCCTAAACCCTAAACCCTAAGCCCTAAGCCCTAAGCCTTAAGCCCAAAGCCTTAAGCCCTAAGCCCTAAGCTCTAAACCTTAAGCCCAAAGCCTTAAACCCTAAGCCCTAAGCCCTAAACCCCTAAACCCCTAAACCCAAAGCCCTGAGCCCTGAGCCCTAAACCGCATCGGCTCAAGGCTGGAGTTGTTGGAGGGCCTTGCTAGTTAGAATAGGGTTTGGGGCCCTCTATACTTGTAATAAGGAACCCCCAAAATACGGCTGATGGACAAAATCCTGCATGACCATGTATACCTAAACTATGGGATTTATGCATACTATACTTGGGTCATGCAGAATTTTGTCCATCAACAGTAGTATTTGTATTTTTTTTAGGCCCCTAGATCCCTAAACCCGAAAGGTGCTGGAGCCCCAAGGGTCCTGCCATTGACCTTGCGAAAAGCGCGAATCGGATGAGGGTTTAGGGTTTAGGGTTTAGGGTTTAGGGTCTAGGGTTTAGGGTTTAGGGTTTAGTAGGGCTTAGAGTTTAGGGTTTAGGGTTTAGGTTTTAGAGTTTAGGGCTTAGGGTTTAGAGTTTAGGGTTTAGGGTTTAGAGTTTCGGGTTTAGGGATATAGGGGCCTGAATAATTACCAATACTATTTTTGGGATTCCTTACTACAAGCCCCTATATTACAGAATTAGCATACCATTTTGTGGGTTCCTTACAATTATACGTATAGTGTAGAGGGCGCCCCAAAGCCCTACTCGAACCATTAAGACCCCTTTTTTAGGCCCCATGCCCTTCCGTCCTTTCGAAAGGACCACCATGCCCAGGGGGTCCGAGTACCCAAATAGTAAGGTTTTAGGTCCCAAAATCCATACTCTGAATGGTTTTTGGACCTTGAAACCCTACTATTTGGGTACTTGGACCCTTAGGGATGTATAAGTACATAAAAGTACTTTAGGGTTGTAAGATGTTACAAGGCATTATAAGTAGGGTTACCTCATCAACAACCCTACTCACTACCTTTACGTATCTTTCCAAAGTCGCTTACGAGGCCCCACGAATCGCCTTTGCAGATGCAGCCGCTTCACCGCGAACTCTTAAACCTACCCAATACGGCCCAATACCCTAGACCCTATAAACCCCAAACCCTAAACCGCCTAAACCCCACATCCTAAGCCCTCAAGCCTAGACCCCAAATCCTAAACTCTCAACCCTAGAACCTTCCAAATACTTCTACACCTTAAAGGACTCGCATGCGGCAGAAATGCCCAGGTGGGCTGCTGAAGACCACCCTAAACCCTAAACCCTAAACCCTAAACCCTAAACCCAGGTGGACTGCTGAAGACCACCCGGATCCGGAACTCAAGCAGTTGCAGGTCATGAAGGATGCGTTCAGGCCGAGGAGG